ACAGGGGGCAGGAGTGGACTGAGGATGATGGTGCACATTCGCATCCTCAATACATGTTTAATGCTGGAGAAGCAGGTGGTTCCTTATATTGAGACACACTCTTTCGCAAGCACAGGAAAGACTCCTTTGGGATGACTGTGGAGGTTATAGTGACATCATGAAACTACGCTTTATAAATCAAGGTTCCTTGCTGTTCAGCTGTTCAGTCACTTCTGTCTCTTTGTGGCTTTGTGGACATCATTTTGCTAGGACTGACTGTTGGTCACTGCTTTTTTGAGTTCCTGCAAGCTCCTGCTTGTGTCATCGGTGACAGCATCTAGCCACCTTCTGTCAGCCTCTTTTTCAATTTTTCCAGGCATCAAGTTCTTCTCCAGTGTATGTCCAACATATTTAAGCTGTAGCTTTATTGCTTCTAGCGAACAGTCTAGTTCTACTTGCCTACTAGACCCCTGTGCTGAATTAGTCAGTTTTGTGATTTTATTACGTATGTTATGTTACTTGTTCTTGTCTTTCATGGTTTTATCTGTCTTCTGCGGACTACCCAGAGAACTCCAGCTACCAGGCATATAACAAAGAAATGTTGCTAGCATTGTAAAGTGTGGTGTGTATTTCTGCTATTAGTTAAATATACATGAAGAAAAAAATCATGAAAATACTTTTCATACTTTTTTTCATGATAGATGTTATCATTATAAGAAATGTCTGATATTGAATAACATTTGATAATTATTTACCACCAGCAAGCAACAGTCTAATCCCTTGCCAACTTAAGTGAAGCAGGGATCAGGACCATCCATGATGTTTATTGAAACCACACTCACAAAATCACTGTTCTCACACAAATATTCCCAGACACACTCATCCTATTCACTCACAATTCATCCATCCATCCAGACATAATCCATCCATCTATCCTAACACCCCCCCCCCCAAAGGTGACTCAACTGAGACCCTCAATTCCTGTGGGCTTGATACCTTTCACTGGCAGGTTCCTAGTGAGCTGGCATCACTTCCCCATATTTTTCCTTATGAAAAAGGCAAGGTGGAGAAGCAAAATACCATTCAATGCACTCCCTGTGATTTGAAGTGATCAGAAAGGGCATGGAAGACTGGGGAAGGGTTCAGAAAGAGAGAAGGGTTGATTTTACGAGACTAATATACCTGTATCTGAGCTGCAAAAATCCAGATGAGTTCTTGCTGCCATCTAGTGGTCATCCAGATCTTTGCACCCTATATATGGTAGCTCTGGGGGCTCCATAGGGAAAGCTTACACTGAAGTAGGCCCATGATTTACAGCAATCTTTCACTATGCTCTCCAGATGCATTCAAAACTCCCAGCAATTATCATGCTAACTAGGGAATTCTGGGAGTTGAAGACAATATATCTTACTGGTGCCCAGAATGGGAAAGGCTGGGCTCCCATAAATAAGTATCGGATTTAGATTCAAACTAGAATTAAACTAGTTTTAGTCCAAGTATTACAGCATACTGTGATCGCAGAATTACTAGCTACTTCTCCAAAAAGTCTCCTAATAATTCATATTTTAAAATGAATACTTTTCAAGTTGCCTTTGTGTCATGTAAAGAGAAATTAAGAAACAGATTTTTTTTTCCAAAACAGAAAACTCAACAAGACACCTTAAGCACACAGGAATTTCATTAATAGCCACACAGAACCACATTAAAATAAAACAACAGATTTAACGTTTGGAAACCAGATTCCAAACTTAATAAACAAAACCAAATGAAAAGCATGTTAAACAAATGTTCACAGGACAAATAAGCAAGACAGATTCACTTCACCATATAAACATGCCACTGCATTTTCATATTTGGGCAATAAAAGGTAGAAGGCAAAACCTTCATGATGCTCCTAATGGTTTGAACCTGTAAGTCCCTTTACAGGCAAAAACTCCATGCTGTCATGAAGGGATAATATTAACTAAACACTCTTATGGTACTGATAGAACTTCAAAAGGATATCTTATGACGCCTTGACATTCTATCAGCATCTTTGATGGAAATAGTTTTTTACACATCCTGGTTGAGGAACTGAAACTGAAGAGTCTGCAACTATTTTGTACGTCTCTAGTTGGATTAATAGATATTGCCTCCAAACAGATGTTGTATGAGATTAGAATTTATTCCATATAAAAAATCCTGATTTTTTTCCTGGCATATGTAAGCTAAGGCAGCAAACCACTTCGACATTGTTGCTAAGAAAACTGAAAGGACACATCCATGGGATCATCAGGAGTGGAGTTCAGGTTGAAAAAGACTTCATCTTAAAAGTTTGCTAAAATGAATGAATTTGATAGTTTCATTTAGCTTTAAGCATTTGGAGTGTTTCTCAATTTCTTTTTATCATCAGGGCAAGAAATAAAAAAATCAATTACACCAAACCACAAACAAGTCAAGGATAACATTTGTGCAAATCCAGAAAAGGGGCCTAACTGTGATTTGAATAACCATAGCTAAGCATTTAATGCACACAGCCAGTGACAAACATATAGGAGCTGGGGAAAAAACCCCCACTAGAGTACTCTGTATTATTATTTTTCTTCTTTATTTAGACCTCATTACAATCTTGAAATCTATTTAATCATCTACCATCAACATGCTTCATAAAGGAAATACTAACAAAGTAGCCAAAGGAAGTAATAAACCTTCTTTTGAGGAGTTGCAGCTTGAACATAACAATACAACTGAGATGAAAAAGCATTGATCAGTTCAACAGAGTTTCACTAGAAGAGAATATATGTAGCTCAGGGTTGAGTGCTCTCTGAGCTTGGTTGCTTGCTTACAGATGTTTTATTACCCAACTGAGTTTCATTACCCAACCCAACTCAACAGAGTTTGGCAAAAGAACAGGAATCTGGAAGCACCTTTTCTGACTAACAGATTTTTGTGAGTTTAAATTTGTTAGTCAGAAAAGATGCTATCAGATTCCTGATTCTTTGCCATCATAGACTAGCATGGCTTTCTTACAGAGTTCGGCAACCATTTATTGATTACAATATTCAGAAAAACAATCTCCCTTATTATTACTATTACTATTTGCATATTTTACTGGGTTTTGCTGTTTCTTACTCTCTCTTGATTTTCTATGCTATTGGTACGTAGCCCTCTATGGACCTAACTCCGGCAATGTGAGGTGACTCACCAGATTTGGACAGCTGTGAAACAACAGCAAATTGTTATGTAATTTATTATTATTGAACTATTACTGCCAGGAGAGGCTGTTGTGAGGTTTTCCTATATTTGGTGTTAAAATAATTGGCCCTACCTCAGGCAGCCAGATGTCTTGGGCCAGCCATATACAGAGAACTAGGGAATGCACACTTATTCTTACACAGTCCTTCTTCTCCAGTTAGTGTGCAACACTAACTAATTAAGCAACAAAGAGTTAAGAGTTGTCTACATCTCTCTGCTCCCAATTTGCAACCCAAACACGGTAGCCCAATTCTTAGGAATCTATTGTTTTCCTCTGGCTTTAATTTCCAGTAAAAGCTACTGACAATTTGGATTTCCATTGGACAATGCAACACAGAGACACCAACCATCCACAGACTTTCATGGGACAAGCAAGCAAGAAGAAGCAAATTCATTCTCTCCCATAAACATCCAACTGCTTAGTAAAGATGTAATTTTTATTAGGCAGAACCTCCATGATGGTCTAAAGGAGAGAGTCTGTGACCCAGATCCCCCAACATAGTTAGACATAATACTGATTGGTTGATGCTCCTAATTGCTGGGTAGGATGTCACACAGGATTGAGGAGACTAGGTTCAAGCCCACAATTAGTTCAATAACATTGGGCCAGTCATGATTACTTAGTCCACCCTACCTTGCGAGGTTTTTGCTGTAGGAATGACACTGGAGTAAGAAACATTATGCAGCTGCCATGAAGTGCTGGAGCAAAATGGAGTCCAAACAAGTAGCTAAATAAAATAAGTAAAATATATGAACCATCTACTCTGTGTAATGTTAATAATGCAGCATTTCCCACATTGACCTATTTCACTGGCCATATTAAAAGAGGGGCAAAAAGAAAAGTGAGGTTAAGGTAAAATATTGAATGAAATAGATTGTAATGTTTTGATCCCATGGAAATTTTTTGTGAAGAACATCTGATAAAAACTGACGATAAGATGTATAAGCTGTTGAAAAGGAAAAGAAAGGCCAGAACAAAAGATGAAATTTTCACTCTTGGATTTCTACTGGAAGATCCACACCGATGTGGCATGCCTCTGGAATCATCATCATCACCATCATCATGCATTGCTCTGCGGGTGTCCTTCCACGGATGAAAATTGATAAATGGTTGTCCTTCATAATTTGTCCGTGTCTGACCCAGACCCTTCTTTTCTCTCTTTTTTCTTTTCTAAATCACGACCCTCTTTGATTTGGGATGAGCTGCTCTGCTCCTTGAGTAGAAACGGCGGGCTCACTGACTAACCTGCCCGCAGAAAAAGGTCGCGTCCGCGCGTTCCCCTTCTCCTTGAAAACGGCTCCCTCCCCGGGAAACCATGTTCGTTCTGCCGCAGGCCTGTTATTTTCCACTTCGCGGGGGATTAAAAAAAAAGTTCAGGAAAGCAATAGGATAAGCAATCGATAGATTAATATTCATGAAGCCGGTGATGTCATGAGCAGCGGAGCCGTGGCCTCCCGAAAGCGCCATTTCCTGGAGAAGAAGCAAGAAGCCGAAGCAAGAGTCGCAGAAGGGAGCCGCGGCGGCCGAAGGAGGGAGCTCCGCGTCGGGCCAAGCGCAACTCCGCGGGCTCGGCGGCCCGATGAACCCTGTGCGCTGCGGGAGGGAGGCCGGCAGGGGGCGGCCTTCCTGACTCCGTG